GGGATTGCAGGCATGTGTCCAGCTAATTTTTTGTATTTTTAGTAGAGACGGGGTTTCACCATGTTGACCAGGATGGTCTCGATCTCTTGACCTCGTGATCCACCCGCCTCAGCCTCCCAAAGTGCTGGGATTACAGGCGTGAGCCACCACGCCCGGCCAGTTTTGTATTTTTAATGGAGATGGGGTTTCACCATATTGGCCAGGTTGGTCTCGAACTCCTGACCTCAAGTGATCTGTCCATATTTTACGAGTTCTCTCTTTCTCTCTTTCTTTCTTGAGACAGAGTCTGACTCTGTTGCCTGGGTTGGAGTGCAGTGGCAAGATCTTAGCTCACTGCAACTTCCCAGTCCTGGTTCAAGTGATTCTCCTACCTCAGCCTCCCGAGTAGCTGGCACTACAGGTGCATGCCACCATGCTTGGCTAATTTTTTGTATTTTTAGTGAGACAGGGTTTTGCCATGTTGCCCAGGCTGGAGATATCACCAGTTTTCCTTTGTCCTTTTTTCTGTTCTAGAATCCAGTCCAAGATACCACATTGCATTTAGAACCTTCAGTTTTTAACTTCGGATTTTATTATACTTGAACTTCCTTAAAAGAGTAATGAATTACTGACAGTCAGCTGTTGTACAAAATCGGCATCACAAACCTCTTTGCCTTTTGGATCATGCCTGCTTTCCGAGCAGGTTGTTTTCCCAGGTGATTTTGAGGACACCCCACCTGCAGCTTTTCAGATGTGTCCAAGCTGGGGACAGTCCCAGCCTATTGGACTGACCTGGACAGAAAGGCTGTTAGGACTGGCAGTGGTATACCTGGAACCTTCTGCCACTCTTGCATCTTGGATCCTGAGTTTCATTTGCATTTTTGTTGGTTATAGAGCATTCTTTGCTCTTGGTTGCCTGGTTTATCCAGTGAAGGACTTTGGGCCAGAAGGATACAAATTCAAACATCAGCTTTCCCACCTAATGAGGGGAGCTCAGTTCTGAGATTCAGTTTCCTCCTTTGCAAGATGGGGACAATAATGGCCACCTTGCAGAGTTGTTGAGGGGAGTAAATGTACCCAGGAATTAGCATAGCACCTCGAGTGCA